GCTGTGTCGGAATAAGCGCGTCGGGTTGACGTTACGGGATAAGGCTGCCTTTATCGAGGCGTGGAACGGGCGCAAGTGAGCAAGCGACACCGAAGCCTCCGACTAGTACCCAAGTAAAGCGCAGAAGGGGAATCGAACGGTAGTTTGGCAAGCTGGCGGCCGTCGTGCATTTTACGTTGTTTCGTTTTGCCCCGCGAGGTGTATGTGTTATTGCATAGCTAGGAGCTTCGGAGGCGCTTGTCGTGCCAATGCTTTCCAGGAATCGTTCGGAGAGGCAAGAAGCAAGGGAAGAACGAAAAAAAAAGCAGCATGGGCGAGCTTTCGCTGAGGGAAGCCGTCGTGTAAAAGTGTAAACGTAATCCAGGTGTGGACGTTTTGTAGTGTTTTTTACGTATACCACGAGTATTGACATTCACGTTGAACAATCTTCTGCCTTCTTTTTATATCAACACTCCTGGCCAATTATACAGCAGCGAACCACCTCTTCATGCAATTTGGTAAACCATGTAAACAAAACTCCGATTTTGGGGGACTACCTTTTCCGAAGCCGTACAAGAAGATGGTATAACAGTGTAGAAGAAACCTCTAGCAGAAAAAATGAGGAAACAAACCCCGCCGCTCCCTTTTTGAATTCCGCCAAAAAGAAAATTGACCAAAAATAGGAGAATCCTTCCTCCTCCTTCTCTCCCTCTCCTTTTTCTCGCTGCTCTCCATCCCACAGACAGAAAAGCTCAGATCTTGCCGTCCGTGACACATCCAGAGCTAGCATCGCTCACAAGAGCAGAATACTTCTTCAGCGTACCCTTGGTATACTTGGGCGGCGGCGCCGTCCACTTGGCCCTCCGCTCCGCCATCACCTCATCCGACACGTTCGTATCAATCACCCTCTTCTCCGCGTCAATCGTGATCTCGTCCCCGTCCTGCACCAACCCAATCGGCCCGCCCTCCATCGCCTCAGGCACGATATGCCCAATCAGGAACCCGTGCGAGCCGCCAGAGAACCGTCCGTCCGTCAACAGCGCCACGTCCTTGCCCAGCCCGGCGCCCATGATGGCGGAGCTAGGCTTCAGCATCTCGGGCATGCCGGGGCCGCCCTTGGGCCCTTCGTAGCGGATGATGACGACCGTCTTCTCGCCCTGCTTGATCTCGCCGCGCTCCAGGGCGGCGATGAAGCCGTCCTCCTCGTCGAACACGCGCGCCTTACCCGTGAAGACGAGGCCCTCCTTGCCGGTGATCTTGCCGACGGAGCCGCCGGGCGCGAGCTGGCCGCGCAGGATCTGGATGTGGCCCGTCGGCTTGATGGGGTTGCTGAAGGGGCGGATGATGGGCTGGTCCTCGGGGAAGTCGGGCGTGCTGGCGACGTTCTCCTTCATAGTCTTACCCGTGACGGTAATGCCGGAGCCGTCGATGAGGCCTTCCTTGAGGAGGAACTTGAGCAGGCCGGGGGTGCCGCCGATGCGGTGCATGTCGGCCATGACGTACTTTCCAGAAGGCTTCAGGTCAGCCAGGAAGGGCGTGCGGTCCGAGACGGCCTGGAAGTCGTCGACGGTGAGCTTGATGCCGACGGAGTCGGCGATGGCGAGCAGGTGGAGGACGGCGTTGGTGCTGCCGCCGAGGATATTGACGACGACCATGGCGTTCTCAAAGGCCTGGCGTGTCATGATATCGCGCGGGCGAATGTCCTCCTTGAGGAGGTTCTTGATAGCAGAGCCAATGTTCTCGCACTCCGCCTTCTTGGCGGGATCCTCGGCGGGGCTGCTGGAGCTGTGCGGCATCGTCAGGCCGAGCGTCTCGATGGCGGTGGCCATTGTGTTCGCGGTGTACATGCCACCGCAGGCGCCGGAGCCGGGGCAGGCGTTGCGGATGATGTCGAAGCGTTCCTCCTCCGTGATCTCGCCGGTAATGTACTGGCCGTAGGCCTGGAAAGCGGAAACGATATCAATGGACTCGCCGCTCTTGCTGCAGCCGGGCTTGATGGTGCCGCCGTAGACCATGATGCTGGGGCGGTTGACGCGGCCCATGGCGATGGCGACGCCGGGCATGTTCTTGTCGCAGCCGGGCAGGGAGATGTTTCCGTCGTACCACTGTCCGTTCATGACGGTCTCGATGGAGTCGGCGATGATCTCGCGGGACTGGAGGGAGTAGCGCATGCCCTTTGTGCCCATGGAGATGCCGTCCGAGACACCAATGGTGTTGAACTGGTAGGGGATGAGGCCGGCGTCCTTGACGGACTTGCGGACGAGGTTGGAGAGGTCGAGCAGGTGCATGTTGCAGGGGTTGCCCTCGTACCAGACGGACGAGATGCCGACCTGGGCCTTGTTCATGTCGTCCTCGGACAGGCCGGTGGCGTACAGCATGGCCTGGGAGGCGCCCTGGGATTTGGGCTGGGTGATGTTGGCCGAGACCTTGTTCAGCTTCTCGTCGGCGCGTCGGGGCGCGGTGGAGGAGAGGAGACGTCTGTAGAGATACTGAAGTTAGCTATTTGCCATTGATGGTCCATTGGGAGTTTCTTACGCATGGCTGGCAAAGGTAGGACGCCTTGTCGCAGCTCTAAGAGCTTGTGACTGGCGGGCGATGGACCTGGAGAGCATTTCGTCGAGGGTATCACTGGGCAAGCCCCAGGAGACGACGCAGCGGAAGGGGTCGAAGGGAAGGGAAAGATGAGGTGTGTGTAAGAGAGTGTTGTTCAATTGAGTTCCCAATTGATCTCCTTTTTCGAATCTGTTTCCTCGATTCTTTTCCTCTTTTATATTGATGCCAGGTGAGTCACGAAGAAAAGGAAAAAAGAGGTGCGGTGGAAGAAAGACCCGAGATCACAGGGACAGTCACAGGGACACGGCGAGCAAAGAGACGTTGATGGTTTTTTTGGAGCAGCCGCTAGCAGCCAGAGCCAGAGCCAAAACCACAGGGGGGGGGGGCACAATTTGGGGCGATGTCGGCTCCTAAAATTTCTGGAGCTCCCCGCCGAGTGCTCCCCGCATTGAAATACCTCGTCGCTAATTGGCCGCAGCTGTGGTTCCGACGCTCCGTTCCCCCCCAGGTTTGGTGCCATTTGGCTGCGTTCTGCTGCACAGCTCGAGGTGAGCCACCGGCGTCGGGTGCAAGGTCAGCAAGGTCAGCCACGGTGTGCGACTGTAACCACACCACCAACAGAGGTCGAATACAACACAAATTCAAGCATTTCATCGTCAACTGAACTTCCCTAGAGTCTATAGTCTTTGCTAATGAAGATGTTCCAAGCTCTGAGAAGCATCAAGGTGTGATGGCATCGATCCCAGCTTTACCTCATCCGATTACCTCATGGTTATTTCCGATAAGCCCGGAATGCTTCCGGTCCCGGACGAGGCCCGCTTTTCTACACCGATCCCGCCGAAAGTGGGTCGCGGCTACCCGGCAACGCGCGTGCTGCCTCCATATTCCTCTCCTGCAATCGCAGCTCAGCTCCATTACACCCAGGTAGCTTCACTACGGATAGAAATGGTGTTACAAATCAGCTCTGGATATCAATCGGCCACAATCCTTACGGACTTAGGGCTTCGTCTTGTGCTCCTCCGTCGAATCCTTCTCCTTGAGATCCTTCTCCTCCCTCCGTGTCAGAATCTCGTCAATAACACCCATGCTCTTGGCCTCCTCCGCCGACAGGTAGTTATCGCGCTCCATCAGGTCGTGAATCTCCTCCAGGCTGTACTTGTCGTGCCCAAACGACTTATTAATGTGCCGCTTCATGATCTCGTTAATCTGCTTGCGGATGCGCTGGATCTGGTTCGCGTAGATGAGAATGTCCGACGCCTGGCCCTGCGTCCCGCCCAGCGGCTGGTGGATCATGACGGAGCTGTGCGGCAGGGCGTATCTCTTGCCCGCCTCGCCTCCCGTCAGCAGCAGCGCTGCCATGGAGGAGGCCGCGCCGAGGCAGACTGTTGATACTGGTGATTTGATGTATGTCATTGTGTCGTAGATGGCCAGCCCTTTTATCTCTTCGTCAGCATTGTGTTCCTTCCCTTGTATCTCTGACTGCGCATCGGGGTGTCTGTCGAACCTGATGATACTGAGCCTCCTGGAGAGTTGATGTACATGGTAATCGCCTTGTCGGGGCTATCGGACTCGAGCCACAGGAGCTGTGCTACTATCGATGCGGAAACGGTATCGTCGATCGCGCCATTGAGGCAGACAATGCGTTCCTATGCATGTGTCAGCCTGATGCGCGCGATATCTCGAAGGGTCTATAGAATCGTACCTGAAGCAGCTTGGAAAAGATGTCGTCTACCTGTGTGGTCAGCGAGGGGGGGATACCCAATTACAGAAGCAGTCGCGGTGTACTAACATGTCCTCCAACCATTCGACTAATCAATTAGCTTTCGCGACCAAAGTATCTTCCAATAGCCATGGGTAGACGAACCGAAACCTCGGTGATGTAAGGCAGAGGGATGTTTCCAACAGGTGGGCTGCTGCTACCGCCTCCTGCGACGGGAGGGAAGCCCGGCAATGGGAAGTTTGAAAAGGCCCTGACGTGCTGCCGCCGCGGGACGACCCTCAGGGCTCGGAATAATGTTCTTTGACAGTTCATGGCGGAGGGTGCGAAAGCAATGGCGCATGTGTGGTGTTGCAGTGTCAAAGAGGAACGAAGTAGAAAGAATGCGAAAAAGCGGCAATCGACGGCAACAAGCACGCGGGAGAGGTGTGACGTCCGCTGGGAAAGCTGGTTGGCCCCTGTGCGCGCCCCCGAGCTCCGAGCTTCCCCCACGCGTCCTCGTCTAAAAATTGCCCCGAGGCGCGTAAAGCTCTTTTTTTCCGTCTGCCCCGTATTCCTGAGCGAGGCCGCCACTCCGGGGACCCCTTCCGAATCTTGAAATCTCCGGGCGGCTTGCCAACGTCCGTTCTATTGCGCACCCATTGCAGCCAGCGATTTCCCTCTCTTTTCGAGCCAAGCGAGACCAAACGACCACACTGGCGACACTTTGCGACAATCGCTCCCTCCTTCGGGGGTCTCCCCCTCGACCGCGATGAAGCCATTCCCAGGCATTCGACGAGTGCCCCGAACTTCTCACAGAAGCTATGGCACAACCCCCCCGGTCAGACCGGGGCCCGTTTTCCTGTCCAAGAAGTACATAAGAGAAAGAGAAGCCAAGGCAGCGGGTAGGGCACCGCCAATACCGCCAATATCGAAGAAAGAAGCAAAAGCACAAGCGATACGAGATGCGCCGAAGCGCAGGGCAGAGGAAAGACAGGCGCACTTCACCAAGAGAATCCAAGAGGTCCTAGGCCACGACGGAATCGCAAAAGACGTACGGATCGACAAGAAGAACAAGAAGGTCAAGACGTCCGCGGGCGACCTGCCCATCTCGCCCGTTATGGACCCCGTGTGGATGGATGTACGCACGAGGTACCGGACGCCCAAGCCCAGACCGAAATCCAAGAGCGACAAGGTCCGGGATTATTCTTTGTCTTCGTCTGGGGCGGCACCGAGAAAACACAAGTATAAGACTAGGATGGGCAAAGACAAGAAGACGCAGAGCCCAAGGCTCATTGTCATGAACAAGTTGCCCAACGGGGGCAGGTTCCGCGTCAAGTTGGAACAGAACCCGTACGGTCAGTAGCGGGAATCCCCCTCCTATTTGTATGAGGACTCCGAGGAAGCGGAATGCTGATGTGACGGACCTCTTGCAGTACATGCTCTCGCCTCGCCTGTCCGATTCTGCCCCGTTACGGGGACATCTCTGCCGAAATACTTTCTTCAAAACTTCAAGGCTGTTACGAATCCGGACACCCAGGGGCACTGGTTTATACCAGGCGACGTTGAAGTATCGTGGACACATAGAGACGCCATGGAAGAGGAGCTTAGGAAGCTTGATAATCTGGAGAATCGTTCAGAAAAGTTTGATGATGTGAAAAATGGTGCTATTAAACAGGGGAAGGACGATTCTAAAGAGCTCAATGAAGTAAATGGTGAACCGAGGAAAGCTTTCACAGGGAAGGACGAATCCAAGAAGGCCGACAATGCAGAGGACGAGTCCAACAAGTGTTTCGAAGAGACGACCGGATCCACCAAACCTGAAGAGGAGAAGGTCGAATACAAAAAGCAGAGCGAAAAAGAGCCCCAAAACCTTGACACTGCAGTAGACGACTTTGAGCAGCATTTCACAAACGTAATCGGATCCGAGAAGAACGCCAAAAAGGAAAGGAGCCGCTCTGGAGCCGTATCTCTTCCTCCCATCCCCCAGAAACAATTCCCCGAGGACCCCATTGCAAAACAAAAAGAAACAGACCAGCTCCTCCTCAAGTCCCCCTCCGCTTACGTCGTCTCCCGCAAACCCGTCATCGACTCCATGGCAGGCAAACGCGGCAAAACTCCCTTCGGCGACGGCTGGCGGACCCTCCTCGGCAGGAACCCAAAGGTCATGAACTCGGATATCCCCAAACGCCTCGTCTGGCGCCAGGACATGGGCGACTTTGTTCTAGAGAACCTGCGCAAGAATATCATGAAGTACGTCACTGGGTACGTCGAGGCGGACGAAGGGCACAGCTCATGCATCCAGCCCCTCGAGACGTGGGAAGATGTCCACGACGCCCAGAAGCGGAGCTGTTTGCTGTGGTATGATGCGGCGAATATCCCCGCGGGGGAGAGTCGGTGGGACGAGTGGATGGAGGAAGGAAAAGTAAAGCCGTTTGCGACCTATGACGTCCCAGACGCAAAGTACGAAAAGAGTCTGCCCATCTACGACATCGGGCGGCTCATGGGGCCAAAGTACCTCGCGAAGCTGCGGGAGATACCCGTGTTCCGCGAGCGCTCGCTCTTCGTCGTCAAGAAGAAGCGGTCGATTCCGCTGCAGCTGTACCTATGGAAGCTGCAGGCGTACATGGCCGAGTATCCCTCCGCAGAAAAGGTCGCCGAGGTATCTGCGGAGAAAAGGAGGCTCGATAGGAAGAGGAGGGAGGAGGAGCGCCGGGAGGAGCTTGTACAGGAGCAATTCAGGCTAGAGGAGGAGGCGAGGGAGGGGTATATACGGGCCAAGGCTGAGCGGGCGAGAATTATTCAGGAGAGACTCCAGCGGGAGATGCAAGGCTTCGATGAACCCAGGGATAAGACGGCAGAGGTCGGGGCAGAACGCGGAGTCGGGTTTGGGAGCAGCAGTACAACCATGCCAAGGTCTACAGCGGCGCCCATGAGCTCGGCCGACTTCACCGCCCAGCTCATGGCAGTACCTCGAGCCGTGTCCTCACCCAGTGCTTGGGACAGCGCCGCCATCAAGCCCATACCTACGATCAAGGTCGACAGGAAGGCTGAAGCCCCTAAATGGCCCACAATCAAAGCCAAAGCGAAAGCCACACCTAGGCGCTCCGCCAAAGATGTAGCCACGCCCATGACTGCAGCCGACTTCACTGCCCAGCTCAGGGCGACACCCAAGGTCGGTTCTGGATCTGGCTCTCGGGACAATTCTGCCGTCAAGTCGGTAGCCCCCGCCAAGGTCGTCAACGAGGCCGGTTTGACTTCACCTTTGGCCAAAGTTGAAGGCGGATCTAAGCCCCAGCGTGTCGGTACGACAGCCGAGACTACACCCAAGGCCGATGTCAAAGGAGCATCGGAACCCAAAGCAGAAGTCAAGAAGCCAAAGGTGAGATCAGTCAAGCCACGCTGGTAGACTTGCACGGAGCAATTCTCTTTCCCATCCGGGCAATTAGGAACCTTGGGTAAGACGGAAGGAGCGGATGGTCATATCAGAATCTATGTACACTGCAGGAGCGAAGGGAAGGGATATATCCTTCCTATGTTAGAAGGCGTGATGAAAGTTGAGGACCAGAAGATGGATCCATATACCCAAGAAGGGAGACGCTTTGGTAACGTCTCGAAGGATAAGAAATACCCCAATCAGCATTATAATCAAACATCTTCGTCAGTCAGGTGATGACACACTTATATCGACAGTCCTTTGAGCCGTTTCGTTGAAACGAGTGACCTTGAGGGTATTCTGAGGTCAAATTGGCCTGACATAGGAGCAATCCTCATTGCCGCTGACTTCCATCACACATGAGGTTGTAGTCTCGGATACCTCATTTTTCCCTCCTGCAGGATTTATCATACCGCAAAACTCCACGGCTTCCTTATAGCCTAATTTTCTCTCTTACATCCTTCATCTTTTACTTCACATCCACAACTCTCTCAATTCTGGCGGGCTCCTTCTCAACCAATCCGAATTTTGAGCACCTGCCTTTGGAAGTCAGTCCTTCCTGCTCTCACTCCCGTCTGGGCCTCCGTCCTCTCTCATATATAAACCTATCTTTCCCTGGCTTTCTCTGCTTCGACTCTTTCTCACTTCCACACCACACCTCCACACTTCCACACTCTAGTACTTCCACAAATTCACACTGCCAACTATCAGCCTCATTCACTTCATTCATCTATCTATCCCGATACAAGTCTAATCATACCAGGCTATCAATTTCATTTCGATCTCCTTTCTATTCAGCTACAACGCCACTCGCGCAGTGCCAGTCCTATGAGACTACCTTCCTACACTCACACAACCTCCTAACTATCTTTCCCATCATGGCAAATGTACATGGGACAGTTCTTTCCGGCATTGGTCCGAGAGTCGCGAAGAAAGAAGAGGCTAGGGCGCTGGGTGTATCACAGTTGGAAATCGCCAAGCCTGCCCTTCATGCAGATGCGATTGGAAGGACCCAACAAGGTCTACAAGAGTGGGTTGCTAGTTTGAGTGAGTATTCCGGGCTTTATCAAGATTCATTTCTCTTCAGGCTTTGCTCACACATTATCAGATCTTCTGAACGAGGCACCGAAGTCCCGAGAGATCCTTGTCGGTGTCATAGGTGAAACTGGTCTGGGGAAGAGCTCCCTCATCAACGCACTTCTCGGGTGCAACATCGTGCCAACCAGCAGCTCAGAAGCCTGCACGGCAGCTGTTTGCATCTTCGGGTGGAATGATGACGTCTCCAATGGCAAGAACTTCCGTGCTCATATCACGTTCAAGTCTTACGAGACAGTCGAAGCAGAACTGGATGCACTCAAGTACGAGTTGAGTGACCTGGAGGAGACCAGCCACACCCAGGGAGAGCACCCAGATCAAGAATACGAAGAACGACGTGCTCAAGCACAACGGCAGATGAGAAATGTCGCCAACTGGTCGAGGCTCAGTCTAGAGGCAATCAGAAAGTCATCTCCAGCACAGATCATTGCGAATTCGTCTGCCTTTGCTGACATTTTTAGAAGCGGACGAGGCGATCGGGCGACGAGCACTTCCAAGCTCGTCAAAGCCGTCAAGAGGAAAGAATTCTTGGCCGTGCTGAAGCCCTACGTCTCCAGCTCGAAAGAAGTGGCATCGCCCACAAAATATTGGCCTTTAGTTGAGCAAGTGGAAATATTCTTGAAGGCCGACATACTCCGGCATGGACTAAAGCTCGTCGATTTGCCAGGTGTTATGGATGCTCTTGAATCCCGCGCCCAAATTGCACGCAGTTATCTCTACCGTCTTGAGAAGAGGATCGTTGTGACACCCGCAACGAGGGCTGCTGACAACAGAGCAGCGGCTGACCTTGTCCTCTCGGAGCGAGATACTATGTTCTTGGACATGGATAACATGCTCAAGGGTGATTCTCTTTGCGTTGCCATAACCAAGACAGATGACATTGATGACTTGGCCGCGGAGAGCGAGTTTCCCACCCTGGAGATCCTGGCAATCTGCGACGAGATCGACAGGCGCGGTGGAGATGACGATGATGAAGAAGCAGAAAGCGGAGACGATACCATCTATGGCAATGCCGTGGATATGAGTTGCTCAGCAGGTGAGAAGCGTCCTCGTGCTGACGGCGTACAGGGCCGAAGCGCCGTGAGACAAAGAATGGACAGTGATGGACCAGACTATGATCTGTCCCATCTCAGCACGGGAACACTCAAGTCGCTTCGCAGGCAGAAGTGTATTGTGGAGCGAAATAAGATATTGAAGCAAAGGGTGACGGATAACCTCTTATCCACCAGAAACAAGAACAAGAAGTCGCGCGCGTCAGCATCAGCTGATACTCTGCCTTCAGTCTTCCCTGTCAGCAGCAGAGCTTTTCAGGCTTTGAGGTTGAGAGACAAGACAAGCCACTCTGATGGATTCCCCGACCGACACTCTACTGGCATCCCGGACTTGGAAGACTGGCTACACCAAGTTTCTCTCCCGTACCGAGAAGAGTGGGTAGATGGAGACATTCACCATATGCAGGTCCTCTTTGATGCTGTGGATGGATGGAACCAGAATGACCATCATGCAGCGTATCCAAGATTCTCTAGCGATCAGAAGATCGAATTGGAGAGCAACATGGACATTCTCTGCAATAACCTGAACGAGGTAAGTTCATAAACGTTTGAGTTTGCGTTTCATGTCAGTGCTAATCTTCTACATACGAAGTCTATGAATTCTAGAGTTCGCACCACAATTCAGAAAAATCTCGCAGCCATGCAGCCATTACGGAAACTCTCTTTGAAGAGGACCCATCTTGCTAGACAATCTAAAGCAAAAGATCAGCCAGAGCTCGAGCGAACCGTCGACCTGTTTAACCGAGCAGTGAAGGGGTGGGAAAAGAAGAATCCCAGAGCAAATGTTGCTGCATCTTCACGACACGAGAAGACCTTTTGGTCTACTTACCGAGCTTGCGTCAGGAGAAATGGTGGTCCTTTCATTCGTCGTGCAAAGAACGGACAGCCAAAGTCTACTATCTTCTGGATTGAGGACGTGTAAGACTCTCCCCAACGTTTATGTCGCCAGGTGATATGTGTTGACAATCCAGCAGGTCTCATGCTTTCTGGCAAGGCCATTTTGATCAATGGGCCTATCAGTTCACTCGTCGAATCCCGGCATTGAAAGGGAAGATTCGAGGAGCGGGTCTTGGAACCCTTGCTGTATGGCTAGAGGAGCTTAACGACAACGATTCGCTCCCAATATCGTTCCGAGAGCTGGTGAAGGCTAGCGCCTTCAAGCTGGATCACCTCGTCGAGAAGTATGTGGCAGATGTGCGTGAGCGCGTCACGCAATTCCAGACATCATCGAGAGCGAAGAGAGAGCCTGTACAGAGGTCTTTGGCGTTGATGATGAAGCCAGGTTTCGAGGCGGCGATCAAGCACACTGGTATGTAATATGATAATGCAATTCTCATTAAAAAGAATCGTGACTGACATTGAAGCAGGCAAGGGGTTGATGGCGAAGCAGATAGAGGACGTAATCAAGCACGCAAACGATGTCGGCTTCACCATGTTCGAGACGGTACGCAACGACTTGGAGAAAGACCTCACAGCCGACATAAAGAAAGTCTCTGCAGACATCTCGAATCTTTGGAAACATCCCCAGCGTGGCTGTAGTACGCTCATCAAGGCTGAGCTGAACCGCATTGCGAAGGGTCTTTACGCGAAGAAGACTAAGACGCAACCTTCGACGAGGATGAGCAATGTAACTCAGCAGACGCTTTCCACCGTCATTGCCACTTGGCGGTCTGAATGGGCCAAAGTCTTCATCTGCCTTCCCGGTGCGCTTCCTCTGGACGATTTCGAAGAAGCGGCGCCCAACGAGGCTGATGAGACTGATGGTACTGTTGAGGAGGAGAGTCAGGTGATAATTAAGAGAGAGGCCCTCGAGGACGTCAAGGAGATGCCTATGCTTTCGGAGGACGAGAAGAAGGCATTGCTCCCAGATGGCATCAAGTCGGAGCCGGCTTGATGAATCGGCATCTGGATGGGGAGTTTGAGAATGAGTTTGGGGGATTTGATTTCACGGGGATTCTGCTTTTTGCCTTTCTGTTTTGCTTCCACTTGCGAGGCGGCATCGTCGCATTTTCTATCCTGCTACATGGAAGCATCGAGGCAATACTTCGCCTCATTCCCGCAACGCTATTGAAGCTATTCAGTAGCGGATCTACGGTAGCATAACGGGGGGCACTGAGACTCTCATAGATCCCTCGATCAGAGGCAGCGTTGCTTTTTTACACAGACAAAGATATTTTTTTTAAACCATGAAACTCGCCAAAAGCTTTTTGCATCTAAAATGACTGTAAGAGGCTGTGAGCAGGACTTTCTGGCCGCTTATATCCTACCCCCTCCAAAAGCCTCAGCCATACTTGCCAAATAGCCCTTATGTACCAAAGACTCGAACGTCTCAAAGGCATCGAAGTCGTGCAAGTAGGCCCGAGGAAGCTTGAACGCAATACTTCTACTACTCTCATCACGCCCCCTTACTTCACAACCTCTCAAAGCCAACATCAAACCACAAACAGCACTTCCCGAAGCAGAACAGCGAAGGACATTTTCAAGACCTGAAGGCTGTCAACCACAATACCACAACTCTCCAAACCCTCATCATTCCCAATTCTCAGCCCCACCATCGACCCCATCTCTGCCCCTCCATGCATCCGTCCCTGCCCCGCGCCCCGCCCCTCAAAAATCCTCACGAAAACCCTCATCCTCCGCAATAGCCCCTCCCACGCAACAATCAAACAAGAGCCCTCTCCCTCGCCCTCGTCCCCAACCAGAGTCGCTTCAAGCGATTCTCAATCATCCAGCGTCGATGGTTTAGTGGTAAAATTCTCCGTTGCCATCAAGCAGCGTCGGGGAGCCGGGGGTTCGATTCCCCCTCGACGCAATCTTTTGTTTTTG